ATATAAATTCCCGTTCCTTTCGTCATTTCATTCGACATTTAACTGGACGCGTTAGGCGGAGGCAAAAAAAAAAAAAAAAAAAATAAATGAGGCCTCCTCGCCTCTCCGCAATTTTTGCCCCAGAGCCACAGAGAGTTTGCATTATCGACCTTTAAATGGTCGAAATCGCATAAAATCGTGTCTACGTATACGGCAAAGAACAACCGTGGCGACACGTTTTAATAATTGTTCTTCCCGTTTCAGGCCGACGTGGATATCGGTGACATCTATCAAGACACGACGAACATGGCGTCCATTCTACTGCACCGGGACACGAATGGGAAAGTGCTCGTTGTAAGAAGCTATTCTTTCTTAATGCGCCGAAATTTCGAAATTCCCGCCATTATTGCGGGCTCGTCTTTCGTCAACTGGGCGCGATTCACTTAGGAGCCGCGTCTCGGTTATAATTACCGCAATACCGCATGAATACCGCGTTGTCGTGGAATTAGCAGAGACACGATTAAGAAAAGATTGTGATGAGTCATTGTTACTATGTCTGGCAATTCAAGAGTGGGACAAGAGAATTTAACGAGACGACGGGGAAAATATTTATCGGAATGTTTAACGCGGTAACCTAATTAACTAACCTAACCTAAATCTTAACCTTTAACGCCAGTTCCGATTTCATTCTGTGAATCGTCGGTATTGAAGTCGAAGTAGCCCCAATTTCCTATCCTATCCTCGATTTTTCTCAATTTTTCTTTCTGTCCAAAAAATTTATACTTACGAAAGATTTTTAAATTTTGTATCGAACGAAACACTGTTGGTTAAAAATTTGGAATCACGTCAATGTTGTTCGATGTTTAAAAATTGTTCAGAAATTTTTCCACCTGCCTTTATATATATATAATCGTGCTCTCTATCGAACAGTTACAGTATTGTTTTGACAAACAAAATGGGATATTAGAAACGAACTGCGAAGAAATGTTACACGAAATGACATTTCGCGATCGTTTTGACATTTCCATTTCGAGCTCGGGTAATCGCACAAAGCGCGTTACGAAGATATCGCTTGTGTAAAACCGCGGAAAAAAGCAATAAAATTCACCATATCGGTTCCATCTTGCAGAACAGTAACTTATAGCTCACTAGGTAACTATATAGCTCCTTGATTATGCGTCCAACCGACCGAGACTCAATTTCACTTAGGAAGTTCGATCTTTTATGAAGTCGTAAAAAAAAAAAAAAAGGAAAAAAAAAAAAAAAGAAAAAAACGTCAAGTTATTGCCAAAGCTGCTATTTATCCATCGAATTACTCAAAGTCCATTGACAGAATTGTTAGGAAATAGGTACTTGACTTGGGTGTAGCGGAACTTATTTATAATTATATTTCTTTGTAAAACTTCTTCTTTTAAAATCATTCCATCTGGAAAGGACTAGTTTATAACATTATTTTCTTGCACCTTTAAGCATATTGGTTTCATGGTATAATTAATATATATATAAAAATATCTTAGTTACTATACCATTGAGGATGGTTGAATGTTATTACATTATTGAGAGTATTTTTTATATCTATTTGTTTTATATTCTACTATTTAAATAGTATAACATTACCAATAATTACGTTCATACGATTGCCTAGATGTTTTAAGCAAACTTGAGTAGTTAGTTAAGGAAATGAAATTACCATGCATTTGCGGCTTCTATTATTAGAAATTGAGTATGTTACGGAGAATAAATCATTCAAGAAACAAATTGCCCGTGGATTTATGTTCTTTGTGCTATTCGCTAGGAGAATAATTAAAAACCATTGTTATGATGATTGATAGTGCAATTTGAAGGAAAATAATGCAATTAGTAAATTCGTGTGTAAATATAAGAAGAAGGTCTTTGAATTTTCTTTTTCTTTTTTTTTTTTTTTTTTTTTTTTTTTGTTGAGAATAACCGATAGAACTGTTGTTAATTATGTAACAAGATGTGAAAGAAACAAATTGTCTCATTGTCAATTCCAACAGTGAAATGTATTAGAGATCTACCTTGACAATGATTTTATTTATGACCACGGAATTTTTTAAATCAATCGAATCGATTAATAAAATTCGCACGTCGAAATAAATTTCAAAGTCATTGTCGTTATTAATAACATTCTTTATTAGCATCGAGATGTTTTTTTTATATAATCTGATACTAATAACTTTAATAATATTAATAATTTGTTTTTGTTTCGGGATGAAATTAAAAATATACTTGATTTTATTTATTTTGAATGGAGACAAAATAATTAAAAATTAAAAAGAAATGTATAAAATGAATGTAATCTTAATTTTAATCTTAAATTTATTATATAATAAAAATAGAATAATAAAAATTAATTTGTTATTAAATTAACAAATTACAAACTTTTATGAATAATTATATAAAGTATTAAGAAAAAACAAAAATAAAGAAAGTATAAAGAAAACGTTAGTAATTAAATACAGTGTAAATTTTCTACATGCAATCGTTGAAAAAAATCGTATTCACGTTCTCGAATAGAATTCCGATTCTTTCACCTTGATAACATCTTGGCACATTACGCGGCAATTCATTGAAAATTCAGATCTAAAATTAACATTTTTTTTGTAACATCAAAGTATTCTCCGTACGGTATAAATTTCACTGTTTATAGTTTCCTTTTATCACTTTATTCATGCATCAAAAATCAGATGAAAGGATGTCCTTGACAACGATCTGTTAATCACTGCGTAGGATGAAGCATGTTTTTGCAGTGTTCGAGAGAAGTGCGAACAAACTTTTGGAAAACAATTTCGACATATGATAAAGTATATAAAAAAAATGCAAGAAAAAAACTATTATATTTTAAAGAATGATTACACGTGATAAAATTTTCTTAATGCATGTTCTTAAATTTAACTTTTAACTTTGACAATATGTTTCCCATCCAAAATCAATGAATCTTTTTTTAAAATACTTTATAATTTGATAAAAGTAATTTATTATAACAATTCTATTACACAAAAAAATACAGGAATTTCTTCCAATTTTTATCTACAACAATTAAATCAATAAATTTTCATCTGAAATATTGTAAAATAATTAAAAATAGTTCTTTATTTTTAATTCATCAAAAAAATATCACGTTAAAATGACATTTGCTCGTTGTGAAACGTCTATCAATTTTATTTAATGTTTATCTAAAATACTTTAATGTCGAATTAACATAAACAGTTAATCTATTCTGCAGATATATTAACCACTAATAATTGTCTTCTTCTATACATTAATCACTAATAAATTTCTATTGTAACACACCTTGCTGTCAAGTCATAAGTAGCTTTACCACTATGGGCGACCTAACCTAATTTAAGAAACCCGCACATTAACCACCAATGATTCTCTTGTTACGACTCTTGTATAAATAACCACACGAATAAATTCCAAAGACAACAAATATCGTCAATCCGCATTACATAATGCCGTAAAAGCGTTGTTCTATATGACCCCATGTGTCCTGACCTTTCGCTTTCACTCTCCCTCTCTCGTTTGACCAGTGTACCTCTCTCGAATCGCGAATCGAATATCGTACCCGTATCGAAAATATCAACAATCGATCAACCGACTTTGATTACTTTGCAAAACGCGTATTTCATTTATTTCGTTAGATTTATATTAGAATCGACACATTGCGGTAATTACAAACGATGTAGATGTAAGTCGTTGACCATCGAATGGAAAATTGGCGTGTAGCGCATGCGCGTTTAAGCTATTAACCGATTATACTTCGTTATCTCGTTAAATGTGCAGTTAACATATTATTGCGGCAGGAAATGCTAATTAATACTATTGTTTATTTTATAATTGAGAAGATTTTTGAAAAAATAGCATGAATTTCAAAATAAGAATATAAGAATATTGAAATTGTAGAGGATTTTTAGAAAATTTTAGATTAGTAGATTTTGAAAATTAAAAATAAGGATTAACCTTAAATACGTTTGTGAAAGAAATTTTATGAAATTATATATGATTAATAAATATTTAATATTTTCGATATCTAAAATATAATATAATAATAGAGGAGAAAAGATATAATAAATTATTATCTGCCTCTTATAAAATATTAATAATTTATAATATTAATAAATTTACTTAAAAGAATAACAAGAAATTTTAATTTTAATTAGGATGGCAATATTGGTTCAGAACTAGTAATACGACCACTGCCAGATAGAATATTGCACGAAGTAATAGGCAAGAATTCGAATCTTCACAGAGAAGAGTTGTTGCCAAACGTGACACGAAGTAAAAGGAACTTAAAGCGTACGAATCATCACGTGGTATACAAGAAAGTGAATCGTTCAATTGGCGACGAACACAGCGATTACAGTGAGTGATCTTTACGTGTTACCACATCGAAGGTGAAATCCACTTGAGATCGATTTCTCGTGATTAAACATCGATTTTAGCATTGATGGAGCCTGACCACATGGCCAAGAGGTTTAGATCTAAACGATCGATTTCCACCAGAAGAAAGAGGGAAGCACCGTACGTGATCTATCCGGAAATTCTGTGCATCGTCGACTACGATGGATACAGGTTAGTTGAAGTCAATGTTTTAGAAGTAATTATTAAAAGCATCATCGATATTTGATTATTTAATTTTAAAAAATTATTAAATAAACCATAAAATTTTCTTCATTTCATAAAAAAATATATTACTTACTATAACCTATATTTAATACATAATTTAAAATAAGGCAAAATTTGTAATTTAATCTTTGTTTTTGTTTCAGATTACACGGTGGTGATAATGTACAGATTAAGAGGTATTTTGTGTCCTTTTGGAATGGAGTGGACTTGAGGTACAAATTATTAAAGGGGCCAAAAATTCGCATCAGTATAGCTGGAATCATAATATCACGGGTGAAGTACAATTTGATAATCTTTTATCAAAATATGATTGTTTCACGAATCAATCTAGTTTTGATTACTCACAACTTTCTATCTATTTTTTTTCTTACCTGAAACGATATCATTCAGGGCAGAGATGCTACGCCTTATTTAGAAAGAAATCGCGTCGGTCGAGATGCAATCGATTCGGCAGCTGCGTTGACCGACATGGGGAAATATCTCTTCCGAGAGAGACGACTTCCGGTGTACGATATCGCTGTCGCTGTTACAAAGTAAGAGTGCACATTTCTTTAAATTCAATTTAACTTTTGCGTTTCACGTAATTAACATACAAAAAAATTTTCTATTCTGTTAATTTCTCTTTTTCTCTCTCTTTCTGTATCTCTCTCTCTCTCTCTCTCTGTTTCTCTCACCTTTTTTTATATCCTTTTCTTTATCCCTTTGATATCGATATAATACATTTAAACATTACATTTCTATTTTTTTTCTTCTTGCAACCAAAATTGAAAAATAATGAAACTCGAAAGAAAAATAACGATCGCGAAAAAAAACATATTTGAAAGATTATTGTAGAATGCCGATTTCGATCGAATTTAAAAAATGAATATCTCTGATATTATGCTATTTTATCATTTTACCACAGCAGTGATTTGGTGATTTCATACTGTTTGATTTTTATTTCGCAAAACAGGTATGATATGTGCCGTCGTAGGAAAGGCGGCCGCTGCACTAAGGGAACAGCCGGTATGGTTTATTACATAGCGATCACGCTTTTTTTTTTCAACTTATTTACTTTTCTACGATTTTTTTTTCCTTTTTTTTCTTTTTTTTTTTTTTTTTTTTGTTAAAATCTTTTTCTCTAATTAGCATTGTATAGTATTCACATCTAGCTTGAATGTATATTAGTTTTTCACATTGCCAAGATGGCGTACTGAATGGGGATGGTATGTTTATAACTCAAAAGTGATATTCTTTCTTGTCGAAATGAAAATCTATATATATATACACTAAAATATTTAATTTTATTTGATAATAAAAAAAAAGAACAATATATATAATACAAATATAATTTAATATTAAAGATTAATTTTAATAAAGAAATGAGAAAGAATTTCGCTTAATCTTTTGTAAATACGGTTTTTTTGAAAAAAAAAAAAGCATCCAGTTTATAATTATTCAACAGTGTACGCCATTTTAGTAAAAAAAACTGAGCTTGCTAAATATTTTGCATATTCATTATTATTTTTGTAGGAACGAATTATAAGATAGAATTGAACTTAAAAAGGTAATGGTACACTAATCATATATAATCAATAACATACAGGCTTTCTTTTTATCGATCTCAATTACATCATACGATTATTTGTGAATATGATCAAACATAAGAATTTGCTCAGATTAAAAAATCAAAATTTATGCATCCTTTTTTTTTTAATCAAAAAATATCAATAAGCATGTGTGGAAAATTTCACTTAAATTTCACTTAAATTCTTAAAATCATTAATAACAAACTCCATTATAGACACACATATATATTTATATTTAAAAGATAATATAAAAAAATATTTCGTTAAAGGGAAAAATTAATTTTAAACAAATTTTAACTCGTTGTTCACAATACGATGTACATAACCTCTACTTTTCTCGACAAATTCACATATTACATACATACATAAATGATATTCTTACATACATGATTTCGAGAAATAACAGTTTAAAACTATTAAAACAAGAATTTGTAACTATTCATACCTGAGATGCAACATTCGCTAATTGGTAATTATTTACATGTGCACTACTAGTAGTATATTTGCTTTATTATAAATCCACCGCTATCGCATTCCGCAAGCCGTGTTCTCAACTAAACGAGGAGATTTTGAATAGGATATGTAATAAAGCTTCACGATATTTGCTTTGTTATCAATATCATTTTTCGCGATTATCAACATCATTAATCATCTATTTTATATGAAATCTTTCAAAAATTTCAAAGAAATATAATTTTTATAAAAAAATTTTCATTTACATTACGAAATGTCATTTTATATCTTCATTATTCTTATATAAAGTTCGTTCATTCCCTTTCTATGATAGTTATTTTCAAAACAATTAAAAAAAAAAAAAACGAATTATGCATAATATATTAATTAAAATCAAAAACCATCCTTATTCATTATATATTATAAATTAACATGGTTTAATAGAAAATGTATATAAAAAATTATAATATCTCACAATATTACAAAATATACATTATCGTATAATGGAAATAAAATATCGTATAATGGATTCATTAGACATATATGAGTGTTTCCAACGATTGTCCCGTGACGTGGTCTGAAATAAACAGGGGTTGTGAATCCACATGATAAAGAGGAAATTTTGTTGTTGCATTGCAGATTAGATATGTGCAGGAGGCAATACGCGAATGACGTGTGCAATAGAGGAACCGCAGGTACGTTTCTCGAATTCGAAAGAAACGAGATTGACGAGAGCCGAAAATTATTTGATTTTATTATCTATATGCACTGCTCTTGCCAACGTTTATATTTCTACATTCTAAGATCTTTTTTTGCTGCAACTCGGCGATTTAAGATATGGTTGAAAATACGATAAAGGAAGTCCTCGAGACTTTCACAACCAGGGATTTTTCGTGGTTTATACTGTTCGAGAGTTTAAAATGTAAATCGTGCTCTTTGGTAATTTTTTTTTTTTTTGATAAATTTAAACAATATAATAACATTAGTAATAAAGGTTATAAGGTCTAAAAATAATATTTTTTAGAAATTTTTTATCAAATGTGTTCTCAATAAAGTGGCATCTTTCAAAAAATGAAATTTAATATGAGCTTGATTTTTATTTTATCAAATAATGTACAATATAAAGAAAAGAATATTGAAATTATCAAAAAATGATTTGTTATATAAAAATTTTTAATTTTTCACTATTCGCTTCATAATAAATTAAATATTGAATTATTTAAAAGGTATTTTAATTTACTTCTACTTAAATTTACTTTTAAAAATTAAATTTAAATCTACATTTTACAAAAACCTCGAATAGTATAATATTCTAATCACGTTTGTGTTGCTTTGATCTATTCTGTTTGTTTTCACATTCTAATAGCTTGAAAACTTCTTTACACTATGTTTGAATTTAGATTGTAAAGAGAAAAATGGCGGGCCAGAAAATGGCGATTGCAGCTTCCTTCTGAGCTGAACGTGAAACATTCTATCGCGGCTTACCACGCGTATTTTCTTGTTTCTGAATTTCACTTTTCTTAGTCTGGGATACACGTATGCCTTTCTCTCCTTCACTCCTTCTATCACTCTTTTTTTTTCACTTTCCTGATTCTTAGTGTGAACGTATATATATATATATATATATACACAACATACGTATACATATATATATATACACAAGCAAAAACGAAAGTGGTTTCTATACTTGGTCTAAAAAAACTAAAAAAGAAAAAAATTTTTATTTGAAAGTTTTTCTTTTTAATTCTTTTCTTCTATTCGTTCATTCTCTGCACAGTGGCTACGGTTTCTTAGTTGTGTATATTTGTTTGCATACACATAAATCGTACACGACCTTGGCATTTATACAATCTATCGTTTGCAATTATATACACTTTACCACAGAATTCTTTCAAATTAATCGTTCAATCCTAATGGTATTTCGTTAATTTAAGAAAATTATCATCCTTATCACTTCCATGTTCACTGTAACGTTCCTGAATCACTCACACTCACGCCCTCTTTTTGTTTCTTCGGGCTGCATTACCGTCAAGGACTGATTGATCGGTAAGTTTCAAATCGAAGCGACCGAGAATTTTAATAATAGAAAGATATAAATCGAATAAGTGATATCATAGAAATAAAAATATTTTATTTTTTCCAATATTATAAATCCTCGTAGAGGAAAAATAATCAATTTTTGAATCAATCTCTTCATATCAGATAAAATTTTGATTTATTTCGAAAGCCTTGGTTAATCGATTGACGTTAATTAATAACAAATGCATGCTTGCTTAATTAATCAATTAAAAGCTTTTCTAATTAAACAAATACTTATTATTGGTTAATTAGATTAATATTGGTGTTAAATATACGCTAAAATTTCGTAATTAATAATAGTATCGATAACATCTTACCTTCTTTAACGTGTCTTTGTTTTTGAGAACAAAAAAAGAACAGCAAAATCATTTCACAATTCAAGTTTAGTTCATATTGCCAATTTAGTTGCAGTACTTTCGAATTGAGGTTATATACCTATTAGCGATCGAGTCGTGATTCTGTTACGATATATACGAACTTGGATTATCACGATACAATCATTGTTTCGACACAGTGTATTCATAAACGAATTTCCTTTCACAATCACGATCACGATTCCAGTACGATTTATACAAATTTTCAACCACTAATCCAATCTAGTAATAATTCGAAATACGTAGTTACGTATTCTATTAAAGATTCACGTGACAATACTAAACGTTTTGTAATAGTTATATATATATATAATACTCTAAATACATACATACGATTGATCGCAATATACAAAATTTTCTTGCATATTAAAATCACAATTCAAATTTGATTTTTATTATTCTGTTCAATTAAAAATGTTATTAATGCATTGATAATAATATTTTAATTAATAACTCAATAAATTTTATGACAGATCGTGTATTAGAAAATATTTTTTTATTTCGCATTCTCAAAATTAAAAACATGTTCAATTTCGTTGCTCTGGCATTAACTGAATTCGCTAAATGTGCAGCTTTTTATTAGTTTATAAATAACAATCTTAGTAACGAATTAATATTTTTACACACTGTTCACAAAATTGAAAAACATTCGAATTGATAGTATGTTTTTATCTAGGATTCGCGTACGTGGGTGGAGCTTGTGTCGTAAATAAACGTCTTGAAAAAGTGAATTCGGTCGCTATCATCGAAGATACTGGCGGATTTAGCGGAATTATTGTTGCAGCCCATGAAGTCGGCCATTTGTAAGTCCATTGTTATTCGACACATTTATTATTTAAACTTATTATGGAATATCTTATTATAAAATTGTTTTAATTTTTTTAAAGATCGATTACTTTTTTTTTATAAAAATTGCCATTATTTAAAAAGAATTCTTTGTTCAAAATTATTCAAATTTAAGGTTAAAATAAAAATTATTAATTTTTCCAATCAATCAATGTTTGTGTTAATATTAA